AGAAAATCGGATGTTAAAATGAACGAAAATTCCTTCCAAATCAAGAGTGTAAAGGAGATGAGGAGGAAGTGGGAGGTTTTAGACAAGTGCACAGAGCTGAAAAGCGAGAGTTTGAAATTGGATTCATCACAATCAGTTGTTGAAGACGGAGCGGGTTTATTTTTTAATTGTGAGACTGTTTTTACGATTTACAATTCATTAGTCTTCCCATATTCTCAAATTTACAAATTCACATGTAATTACTTTCATTAATTCATTCATGTACACAACTACATTTTCCTTTTCGTAAACATGTTATCTCAAAAAAATTTTTCATTGACATTCGGACTTGCCGTAGTATCCGGAAACGACATTGATTTCTGTTTTATAACATTGGTTTCTAGAATTTTTATGTAGATATATAAAATATTAATAACATGCTCATAACAATTGTTCATCATCATACCAACAACCATTGGTCGATATAATCAGGCGACTAGAAGGCATAATTGGCAACCATCGCCGACATCATATGATGTAATGTGTATATAGATTTTGTTGCCGTATGCACGGAGGATGACATAATAAAAAACCGACCAATTATCTCCTGGTGTATTAATATTTGCTTTTTTCAACAAAGAAAATTCTCGAGATTGATGATAACGATAATATAATTATACAGGGTGCGTTCCATTGTTCTCATTTGATCTACCAACAAACATTCCGGATGGAAGAGTTTGTGAAACTCGTAAATTTATGAAACCATACAATTCACAACAAGAGAATGCTCCTGATTTTGCGATTAGTTTGTGTCACAAACTGCTGAATGCTTGTGTTTTGTCATGTTTAACCTGATCAATTCGACCGGAAGTAATAGTAAGGTTTGAAGATTTCTTTGTTCCGAACAATGGACTTGTGCGATTTACAATTTATCTCATTCCAGACTGTATCCATTCCAATAATATCATCATCAAGGCCTGGTTTTCTGCGATAAGGAATCTAACAGTCGTTGGGGGTTCTTGCATATTAACATTGTGTATGATGTATGAATTGATATTCGGTCTGCATACCAGATTTCTCATTGATTACACGTATTTCTTCATTAGAACATGTTTCGGGGAGTAGTGAGGGAGGATGAAAAATTCAACAGTCTAAGATTTTTATTTCAGGTCGAGGTCTTCTTTTCTTCCCACGGGCGCAAGTTGACCACAATCAGATCAAATCGAAACCTGAAACGCAACGTGTTAATGTGCACAAAACCGATTCTTCGTCCAAAAACTTGAAACAGTAGAGAGAAGTAGTTTCACAGCACCATGTGATCTATACAATTAAATATATTAATATCGTCTAATAAACTGTGGAATTTTTTAACATAGCCCGTTACTGCAAGTGGGCTAATTGTGATCGTTCAACTATCCAATCAGAGTGTAGAGTTGAGAGTAAATTTCGTTCCAGCTTAATAAAGTTTGCAATCCATTATTTTTTTGCAGGGGCTATTGTGTAACTGATATCAAGATTCTACGAAACTTTAAAAGTTTCTTGTGGGAAATTATGTGGAAACCGCCACAATGAATTGGGGTTCAAAAATCATGGTAGTCCCAAAGATATACATACTTACATTTTTGGGGTCTTGGAGCATATACGATAAAGACCTCGCATATACCTGATATCAAATCACTTTTTTAAGAATGAATTCGAAACGCAACAATGCAAATGTTAGTTCAATACGCGTTGCGTTTATTTCATAGATTATCTGACTGAACGACTAGATGATGCCCAGTGAAGGGACCGGATAAACTGAATGGTTACTGATCTTAGTGTTGCGTTGCTTATTGGAGATTTCGTCATTCGTCTTTGAGTGTTTGTCATGTTGGTCCTAGCTGCCAAAGACACAAACTAGAGTTCTACAACACGCATTTATCGACACGTATATTCACTTTGTCTTGAAACCAGATGCATCACGTTGCTGTACATAATAAGAGAAATTATGGGCATTATAATACTATGGGTTGTGTCCAACAGATGATTATCAACCGTTTAATATTAATGGCCATATTAAAAATGTTAACGTCAGCTTGTCAAAGTCTGTTCTCCAGCTCTTTATATTGTCCTGACTGCTTTTAAACCGATATAAACAGTGATTGCACCCCGTTTAGTCAAAAATTGTGAGACAGTTAATAAAGACATAAACTAGATGTAAATATAACCGGCTAATTTTTAGACAAAAGTGTGTGGGGAAATGGCATTATAATGAGAAGTTAATTTCTCTAATTTCTCTTGATTTTGCTGTAATCTAACCTTCCTCTCTGAACTAGTTAAAGCTTGGTTGGTTTTTAATTCTTCATTTTCAGATTTGTTGTTAATAAAGTGGGTAAGTTTTACTTATCCTGGACGTGTTTGGACAAAATTGTCAGATTCTTTTGTCTGACGAGGAAGTACAGTAATACGTCCGTGATTAATATGTCGGCATAAATTGAAATAAATCTTTAACTGGAGCCAAAAAAGAACGCGAAAAATGATCACGTGTAGGGCATGCATTAAGTAATTGTTAATGTAGCTCAACGAAAAAAGAAAAAAGAGAAAGCCTGCCTGGTTTTATATATTGAGCGTATGTTTAAGAGGTTGTTCCCGTATTATACGGTAACTAAATTCCAATAAAATGCAAATTTTTTTAATAAGTTTATTAACTGACGGTTGTTTTATGAAATTGACTAAAACACTAAAATACCGTTGACTAACACATTTAGTTACAATTTTAATAAAGTTACTATGGTTATATTTATAAAACGCAATCAATTGACTGACTTTATGAAATGCAAAGGACAATTATTATTTGATAGTAGTATTAAATCAAAAACAAGAGATTAAATTATAAAAATTTAAACGCAGCCAGCTGGATGTAGCAATATTGAACTAAAAATGCTGCAAGAATTAGATACTAGCGCTTTGAAACAACTTATATAACGATGCAATACATTGTGTTATAGAAGTAAGTGTTGTCAAGAATTAAAAAAAAAAAAAAAAGACTATAAATTGCATCACTATCCTTCAAGTGTTGGATACGGAGTTCAAGTAGACACATTTTTTCAATGATCTGATAAATCCGTAAAAAAAAGGTGTGCTGACATTGAGATCATTTACGCTGTACTTACGGATTGCATTGTCTTTACTATATAATAAGCTCGTCAATATAAATACCCAGTATACTTGATAATATAGAATTGAGGGGACGAATAACTGAAGCTTGGCAAAAATCGATGTACGGCTAAATTTTTGAAAATTTTATATTTGCACAATCGGACTTATTGTTCTGCAAACAAATCGCGTGACTTTTCTTATTATTAACCCCTGAAATGTTTATGTGGCGTCTTACCTGCAAAGCAGACTTTACATATGCAGGGCTTTTATTGTTGTGATACGACATTATAATTACTCGGTTTTTGAACTTGATATTAAATTGGGTAGAACAAGTCGCTTAAAGTTTTATACGAATAAATGTCGTCACTTTGGGTTTATCCCGATATTTAAGAGTTTAACGTATACTTATACTTTACTACACATGCACGTATTGCACAATAGAATGCAAAGCCACCACGTTATGCGCAGTGCTGATACACGGACCATACAAAGTGAATGAGAACACCTGACCAATGACATTTCCAAAAAAATTATTATTATTATTTTATTATTTTTCTTTTATTCTAATCAAACGCACGCCGATCGTTTTTCATGTACATGGAACAATTACAATCGTCATTCAATTAATACCGTTTTAATTATAACAATAACACGAAAACTTTTAAATAATTTTTTATTTACCGTAACACTAATTGTCACGTTTCTAATCTCATGCAGTGCATTGATTTATATATTTTATCTGCATAAGTAAGTAATCGACCGAAAAAATTTTTATAACTAAAAATTCTTTATAATCAAGATCACAATTATTTAATAATTGGATTAGTTATAAACAAATTTTGTTATTGTCAAAACTTATTAGCAAATATGACGAAATCTAATTGTGATCATAATAAACGACTGTTTGTTGTCTGCCAGAAAACTCTTCTTTAATGTTGATTTGTCGATTTAGCTAATACGTTAAAAATCCATTGTTGACAAGTCCACACAGCATTTAATGTGCTTATAATGCAAGATCAAAATAAATTCAAGCGACAGTTAATTACGTTAATACTAAACGACTAGTAAAATAAAAATGGCAAGTTACTTTCAAATGTCGATAAAACAATCCATCTAAGAATTGTTACTACCGAAAAGTTTTTTTACTCAAAGTGAAAAGATAACACAAACACGATAAGGGATAATTAAACTTATATAAATTAAATATTATTAATATGTTATAATTGCTTAAATTCTGACAATATATCAATACGGATATTTTGCCAAATAAAAGGAAGAAGAAAGCTATATCGCTGGGATTAATATGTTATAATAAAACGACCAAAGTGCATGAAAACTGCGTACGAACCCTACTTATGGCTTCAGTGAAGCCAGCACAACTTTGACCTGTAAATTTAAAAACTACGTGATTGTATGTAAGATTTTCAAGTAAAGCAAATTTTTAAGTGCTCAGCAAGAGTTACTATTAGTTAAATTAAACAAACACTTTGGCATTATAGACAGATTCAGTGAACTTGCTCCTAACAATAAACACTATATCTACAGTATATTGACTTAACAGACGTCATTCAGAGGAGACACGTTATTATTTATAATATAACATACAACGCAGCTAATCCCTAAAGTTGTTGACCCCCATATTAGTATTAGTGTTGTTATCTGTGCCACCACATCCAATTTAGCCGGATAATCGCTTTGCTACCAAACTAGCGAAAATAATGTCGAACGTTCCCTTTCTCTGTATTATGCAAATAATATCAGAGCTGTCTGAAAGCAGCAATGACCTTTACTCTTGTTCACTTGTTAACCGCATGTGGTGTGAATGTGCTATTGCCTACTTATGGCAAGCACCTTTCCGCTGGAACGGTCGTAAAGCTTGCAGAATGCTTGTCAAGTTTCTACGATTCCTGCCCAAGGAGTGTTTTGAAGACTTGGAAGACATAGTGGATATGCATCCATCGCTTGAGAGCGAACGGTCAATTTTTAATTATTTAAACTTTGTTAGGACAATCAAAGTGTTGGACTGTATACATGCGACGGAGTATTATTCTAGTCATTATTTAGAAGGCACTCATTCTTCCACCATTGCGCCGCTACTACTTTTGAGGCTATGCCAAGGAATAATAACGAATTGCCCGTTACTAGCAGAAATAGACGTGACCGGACTTGATCGTGCTCCGAGTTACGACGATTATAGTTGGCCTGCTACATCCTGGAACTTATTTAACCTTAAAGGCAATCTCAATCGGTTAAGGCGACTCAAATTCTCGCAGAAATTTCACCCCGATATTTTACACAGAGCTGCAACGACAGTAACAAATCTTGAATCGTTTGAATTTGAATGTACATGGGAATCAGCGTATATTGATGGGACTGAATGGTGCGATGCTATTAGTAATTTTATAAGCAAGCAGAAAGGCTTAAAGGTTGCAAGACTCAATCTCGAGTTGCAAAATAATGAAATGAGTCTGCAACCAGTCTGGAAAGGATTGTGTACTCAGGCAAAAACGCTCAGAGAAATCAAGATACTCTTTAACATACAGGATAGGGATGCACATGATTTACTCGAATTTCTAGGTTACTGTACCAATCTACACCACGTTGAGATGTTTTGCTGCGAACTACGTGTACAGTCACCAATGAAGTTGCAGTCTACTATGTTTTCTAATCTCCGTGTACTTAAATTAGAGGAGCTCGACACGAATACCTATGGCATTGGTGCATTGTTTAAAAACGTGAAAGAGAGCTTAGACACACTCTCTGTGAAAAGAATTCAGAACGCGACAGAACTGTGGAACAACGTAGAACTCTGGATTATATGCGCCACAAATACACCCTACCTTACTAATTTAGAAATACAGCTTTCTTTGAATGTCTATATTCCATTAATTCAAACTGTGCTTCCGTTATGGCTGCATTTGAAGAGATTATCTATTGCTATCCGGGGAACTAAGCAACATTATGAACTAATACCGAAAATACTATTACTACTTGGACAACACCTGCCAAAATCAGTGAAAGCTCTTGTGTTAGAAAACTCTTATCAGCTATCATTGGACATGTTAGTTAACTTTTTGTCTTCTTGTTTGATAGATCTTGAATCTATATCTATTACAAACAATGCTTTTGATGATGGCTTTGCAAAAGCATTACTAAAATATATGGGGCATAGTTTAAAGTCAGTTTTTTTACATGGTCAAGTGACTATTTCTCCTGAAATGAAAACTGAGCTGTGCAGACAAATATCTGAAGTTACTATTCATTCGGTGGATGTTTGAAAGTATCTTGATTTTCATAATGTGAACGTGTTCTAATGGTATAGTTGGGTGCTATTTCATACACCCATTAATATAAAGAGCAGAACTATTACTATTTTATATTTAATTATTTACATTACACCATAACAAAATCATTAACCTTGGTAAAGAAAGCTAGCATCACTCGCCAACCTCTAATGAATATTTATTTCTCAAAAAGGTATTTGAAATTTATAACGTTAGAACTTTTACAAATAGAAAATGTTATAATAATAATAATCTAAACCTCTTGTCGGACAGGATCATTGACGTGTGCTATTCGAAGCAAGTTTTACTTGGACATATTACGTAAGTTTGTTGTGTGCAAATTTAATACTGTATTGAATCTTCAAATCGTTTATTAAACCAATAATCATTTCCTTAAAAGTTATAATTATTATTATTATCATGTCATTGACATTCATATAAATATTGCGTTTATCTCATGATTAAATCTTTTACTATGGTCAAACCTTTACGGTCTCGCCATGGAATGAAAAAGCATTTCAATTTCCTCTTTCACGTTCTATCCGTACATATTTATTCCATTTTTATCATGTATCAACAACAATTCATCTCGGGTGGGCAAACACCACCGTATCGGGGGGGCATACTGCAAAACATGTTATTGAAGGGGTCGCGTCCAAAATGTTCATACAGGGAGAAGCGACAGATTTGGCAAAATGAATATAATCTTGGCTATAACTACTTTTGCCGAACAGCATTCACGATTGGTGGTAGGTAGCTTAATCGAAGTAAGAAAATCGTGCGACATTTCTATTTGTACACAAAACTAGCTTTGTATTATTGGGATTACAATACCTTTGTCGGAAAGCGTGTCTCAATACGTTAAGAGTTGTCCGCGCACTTTGTGGAAAACCCCTGGACGAATAGACGACGAGCAGGAGATAGCGAAGATCAAAGTCATTCTTATGATGCTGTAGACCAATTGTCATTCCTTAGTCTTGTGAGAATTGGATAACAACAATATGCAGGTATTATAACAAGAGCATAAACTAATATTTATTCGTAATGATAGTTGATATAGTTCAGGATGAAATCTGGTTGTGAGTACAGTTTGTTGCCAAAAGGGAAAGGGAATATTGATGATAATGATGAGAACTCGTAAACCTTGTAGAATTCTAACCTCTTCCTCATTATGTTCGTCATTCGTAGATTTCCGAACGTTTGGCTGTCGCTTTTCCTCCTATTCATAATAGACTATATATATGGTGTCATCCCCACAATTATAGCAGTAATTCGCTCCGACTGCCCGTCTATTAGCTTTAACACGACAAATGCGACCTCAAGGCGAGTG